AAGAGGGGAAGGAGAAGGAGAAGGTAGACAATGAGGAGAAGGAAGAAAAAGAAAAGGAGAAGAAGATAGTCAATGAAGAAAAGAGGGAGATAGAATGAGGAGAAGGAAGAAAAGGAGAAGGGGAAGGGGAAGGAAGAGAAGATGGACAATGAGGAAGAGGAGAGGGAGATGATAGATAAGTTAACCATATCACAGGCACACAGAAACAAGTTGCACAATCCTGCCTTTCTTAGCACTAAATAATAAATTAATCAAAGCATTAAAAGAAAGAGAAGGAAGAGAAGGAAAAGATAGACAATGAGGAGAAGGAGAAAATAGAGAAGGAGGAGAAGTCCCCAAACATAACATTAATCTATTTGCTCATTGTTATTAATCTACAAATAAATAAAAACTAGGGGACCGAAGTGGTAATATGGACAATATCAGTTCAGCTTATAATTGGAAAGGAGGGCATTTCATATAAAACACCATCTTTTTGCCTTAATTACAGCCGGCTATCCAACTGGTTTAGCATCATCTCTTTTCTCCAGCTTCCTGGTTTCCATCTGTCACTAGGCCTGGTGGATTCATTCTCGAACCTCGATTGGTGTTTCTGCTGCTCATGGAAATCCACCCTCGTTCTACATTCTGGTTTCCTCTGAAAAAATAACTTAAGTGAAGGATCTTTTGGCAAAGTGCCCAGGCAGTGAAATCCTCCTTCACTTAATTGCGACTCGAGAGAATAATTAACACATTTTGGTATTCATTTAGAAGTGTTCAACAAGGAAATGGCATTGTGGTGCCCAATATTCAAGGCAAAATAGAGTTGAGGAGAGCCGTTATAAATTAGTCTATTCCTCCCCAAGGAACCATCTGGCACCAGAAACGATGTTATTTTTTAAAAGATAGCTACTGCATGAAATGTACTGCTTGCCCTCTTATAGGTCTCCAAAAGGTCTAAATAAATTTATCCTGAAGAGAATTTTTTCCCTCTGGCTAAATAATCCCCATCACTACCCCAACCTCCTGTTTCCTGCTCCTAACATATTTAAAATTTGAAGGAGAACTAAATTTCCCGGCTATCATGAGGCCACCGAGATGTTTCCTAAATGGCTTCATGTTAATGCTTCCCTCAGGCCTCACAGTTTGATGGCTGACTGACCTACTTCTGTCAGAGCTTGTGAAATCAAGCTCTTACCTTCCTTTTAAAGGAGGAATGGAAAGTCAGCCATTTGGTGGAGAAACGGAAAGGGTTTATTTCATTTCTGTCCCACAAAATGAGAGAAACAGATCAGGGGTAAACTTTACCTCAGAGGTATCTCTCAGAAAGAGGAGGAAGGGAAGGAAGAAGGGAAAGGAAGAAGGGAAGGGAAGAGAAAGGAAGGGAAGGAAAGGAAGAAGGGAAGGGAAGGGAAAGGAAGAGAAAGGAAGGGAAGGAAAGGAAGAAGGGAAGGGAAGAGAAAGGAAGGGAAGGGAAAAGAAGGAAAGGAAAGGAAGAACGGAAGGGAAGGAAGAAGGGAAGGAAAGGAAAGGAAGAAGGGAAGGGAAGGGAAGGAAAGGGAAGGGAAGGAAGAAGGGAAAGAAAAAAGGAAAGGAATGGAATATCCCAGATTATTGAGGGCAATATGCTGACTCTGTACACCGCTTAGAGGGGGATGCAAAGCACTGTGAAGCTGTATATAAGTCTAAGCGCTATAGTGCTAGTATAGTGCACGCTCTTAGCAATCTTCTCTCAGAATCCCCCCTCTTCTTAAAAATGAAGCAGAAAAAACAACCAAGTTGGAAGGAACCAAACCGAGCTGGGACTTTGTAAGCCCTGCCAGTTAACATCTGTGGAACCAGATTGAGTAGATTAAGAAATCCGATGATGCAAACAATAGGTTTTGGGCCAACCTATGGATCAAAACCCAACTATTTCAGCGGCAGAAGTCAGGTCCCCCCAGGGCTGTGGAATTAACGTTTCGCTTCTTACTCAGCATCAAAGATTTTCTTTTCTTTTCTTTTGCCTCTTTCGGTTTGTCCATTGGCAAGCTGGAACGGATTCAGAGAAGCACTCTAGATATGAGTCTCTCTCTCTCTCTCCAGCCAAGGAATGCAGTGAAAAGATGTGTTGCCGAGTCATATTTTAAAAAGGTTGTGAGTAAGAATGAGTGGGAAGGAAAACAGTCCATTCTGCAGGCCATGATGAAGACAAGACACCGTGGCTGAACATCTAAAGATCTTCCTAAGGGGCTCTTCAACTTTCTCCACCTCTTCACAGGGAGCTGGACTAGAAGACCTCTAAGGTCCCTTCCAGCTCTATTCTGATTGATTGATTGAATGAATTGATCGAATTTAATGAACTGATTGAATGAATTGAACGAACGAATGAACGAATTGAATTGAATGGACGAATGACTGAATGGATTGAATGAATGAATGACAATTTTTCAGGAGTGGGACTCTGCTGCTCCTCAACTTATGACCACCATTGAGCCTTCAATTTTGGTTATTGTGAGACATTCGCTAAGTGTGTTTTGTCCCCTTTTACGACCTTCCTTGCCACCATCATTGAGCGAATCACTGCAGGCTATTAAGCAAGTAGCACAGTTGTGAAGTGAATTTGGCTTCCCCTGTTGACTCTGCTCGTCAGAAGGTTGCAAAAGGGGACATTGCAACCACCATAAATAGGAAGCATCGGAATTTTGATCATGTGTCCATGGGGGACACTGCGATGGTCGTAAGTGTGAGTCTT